TTAAAAAAAAAAATCACACACAGTAGAAATGGAGAGATGTTCATGATTGTAAAGTTGATTTTGTAAAATGAGTTACACTCCATAGACATCCTAAACTTTTGTGTGTCAATCTGTTTTCATCAACACTGCCCAAAAATATAGTTTTGTGAGCTCCACAGGGGTTTACAGACAGGCCATCAATGCAAAAGGTTCCTGCATGATTCTTTATGTATTGACAGATCAGTGGTTATCTTGAGTCATTGTCCTGTTTTCCTCTTGTTTTTTTCCAACAGCCTGCTATTAAACTAAACCAGCATATGCCTATAATGAACCAGGTCACAGACAGTGGTCATAAATTATCACAGAGCATCTCCACTTCTGCCGTGGACAGGCTATAAAATGGCAAGATATTAAAAGGAGTTAAAATATTTATATTCATCTAGTGCAAAATAGTCAAGGTATAATATGTGATATACATATTGTGCATAATGTTTCTGATACCATGTAATGTATTTGTCTTATTTGCATAGGAATCCTGTAGACAAAAGCTCAGCACCTAGGAAAGATTCAATTCAGAGGGACTGAGGCACGGAAAAATTTTCACTAATGGTATGCAATATTTAAAAAGAGCTGCAACACTACTAACAAGAAAGCATTTCTTTCAAGACTTCTCTACATATTCAGTTAAATAGAAGCCTCTATGTAAGACCACATCTATACTTACCCAGAAGTTTGAATTAAGATACGCACCTCCAGCTTTGTTAATTGTGTAGCTGAAGCCAAGTATCCTTAATTTAATCTTTCATGCTAGCTGTACAGTAGGAGATTGATGGGAGCAAATGCTTCTGTTGACTTCCCTTACTCTTTATGCATTGAGGAATACTGACATCAATGAGGGCACCCTTTGCATTGGATTTAACCAGTCTTTACTAGACCTGCTAAATCAAACACCATAAGATCAACCATCGCATCATCAATCTTCTCGCTAGTATAGTACAGATGTGACCTAACAGTGCCATCTGATGACGCCAAACAGTACTGCACATTCTATAAACAAGTTAATTTGGATTCTCTAGTGATAGGCTGGCAAAAAAGACACCATATGACAAACTTAAGCACAGTTGGGATTGCTAAATTAGCTTAACAGGATTTACTTTCCACAAACCCATGTTGATTGGTATTAAAGAATTAAAGAATGGTAATTTAGTTATTAATAGAGTCCCATATGAGTTGCTCTACCATCTTGCCAGTGATTGATGTCAGACTGACAGGTCTAACATTACCTTGAACATCTCATTTATAGTACTGGCACAACACTAATTTTCTTCCTGGCTTTGGAACTTCCCCAGTGTTCCCACACTTACTGAAAAGGAACATTAGCAGTCTAACAAGCTGTTTGGCCAGCTCTTAGAAACTTCTTGGTTGTCTGGACCTGCTGATTTTAAAACTTTCTAACAATAGTTGCTGTTTAACATCCTCTGGGATTGCTACTGTGTTTCATCTCTATCTGCTATGACAATCATCTGGAATTTTCCCCCAAACGTAGAACACTTTTGTCTTTTTCTGTATTACTATTGACAGTTCTAACATTTCCATCTAGTAATTGCCCAATACTATTGCTAGGATTCTAATATACTTGAAATACTTATTGTCCTTACCGCTACTGGCCACGGGCAGCAGGTTTGCAAAAATTTTGGTAGTGTCCAATGCCCACACTCTTCCCCCTTTCCTCCCCCCCACACCTGCCTAAGGCTTTGAGATGGAGTTTGGTGGGGGAAAGCACAGGCCCTGGTTAGGATGTTGGGTACAGGCTCTGGACTGGAGCAGGGTATTAGGTGGACTGGAGGAGGCAGGCTCTGGGAGGGTGTTTGGGTGCAGGAGGTGTCAGGCCCTGGTTGGGATGTTGGGTACAGGCTCTGGCCTGGGGCAGGGGATGGAGTCCTGGGTGCAAGCTCTGAAATAATAATTCCCCTTAAGAATATGAAGCAGAACGAGAGAGAAGTAAAGAGAGAGTCTGGTCCTTTTCCAAAGAAGTGATAATGTTCTACATTTTGTATGTTACCTGAATAATACAGTGGTGACAGTACTGCAAATAGATCAAAATCAGATAGCAGCCACTTTGTCTTCGATAAGAGCTGGAATGGGCCATGAGATTACACTATTTGTTCTCTTAAAGATCCATTATGTGGAGTTACTGAAAGTGGCATAGAAAAAAAAAGCTTATAAGTACTTGTCATCACCATTAGATTTTTCATCTCACATCGCAGTAGCAACAAAAATAACCATTGTTGCCACTCGTTTCCGCATTTCCTTTGGAGGCTACTTCAGTTCCATAAATATTGGAAATGGTTCATTCAGTCACAGGTTGTGTTTAACATAAGGTTCTTTTTCACAGATGTTGCCATGGAAGCTTGTCAGTAACTGTAGGCTCTAATAAGCCATTTTTTCCGTCTAATTGCTAACCATTACTTTGGTTCAAAAAGCAGACTTTGTTGCCTACAGCACTTTGACTGTGTGATTAATATGAAACCTTGTTAGCTTAATCCATCATTGAACATGATTAACTGACATAAGCATTATTCATGTTTGCTTTACCTTGATATTTTTACCTTTCATTTAAATCACAAGTCTCCCTGAAACACCTATTGCCTGTTTAATTCCTACTCTGTAGTTATCAATTTGTGAGCAAAGATTAATGTGTGATGCCAATAAACTGTAGGTATTACATAGTTTAAAGAGAAATTATTCAGGAATGCAATACATATTTAGCTATGAACTTTAATAAGTCCAATTAGTTTAATGGACCACAACTCCAAAGTTAGGTACAATGTAACTATTACTGCTAAGTGACCATAATTTCTTTTGAAATAGGTTGAGATTTTGTCTATATTCATCAGAAGGTTTTCTGAAGAAGTGCACCTCATTTAGCTAGCCATTTCTATCAATTAAGACCAGACTTATTTTTCACGATTCACCTGAAAGTATTGCCATTGGAGACTTTTTTAGAAGATATTACCACATCTAGGGTAGAAATAACTCTTCTTATGCCAAGATAATAAATAATTTAATATTAAAGAAGAGCCAGCCTTATTTTGATCAAGCCTGGCAAATGCATAAGTAATTTAGAGGAAGCAAGAGGATTCTTTGGAAAACACGCCAAACTCAATTGACTCAAACTTAACTGACTCATGTTACACACAGTGGGCACTATAGTGAAGATATCCCCTCAGCTTCTGCCACAACAGTAGAGCCCAGCTGCTTGTCTTAGGGGTTTGTGCATAATTGCCAACATTTAAATGAGTTTTGCAAAGGAAAATTGTCCAAAGAATCTGGGTGTGGGAAGAAGGAAGAAGCTAGATTCCTGATCAGTAGAGCTTTTTTTTTTTAATTTGCACTAACTGATTAATTCTGGCACATAGTGCTTTACAAACTGTTGAAATCACAACAATGTGACTGTAAGGTGGGAATGCCAAGGCAGAAAGGATAAGATTTAAACTAAAGTAATAGAAAGAGTTTATTGCCAGAATTAGAATGTAAAAGCAGCAAGGAGTCCTGTGGCACTTTATAGACTAACAGAAGTGTTGGAGCATAAGCTTTCGTGAGCAAAGACCCACTTCGTCATCTGACGAAGTGGGTCTTTGACCATGAAAGCTTATGCTCCAACACTTCTGTTAGTCTGTAAAGTGCCACAGGACTCCTTGCCGCTTTTGCAGATTCAGACTAACACGGCTACCCCTCTGATAATTAGAATGTAGAATCCCTTTCCTTTCAGGCCCATGTGTAACACTTTGCCTCTCCTTTCCATAACCATGTGTCTGGCCTTTCTGAAATGCTTCATATCATTTCACCTCCTGGAGTCCCACACTGTTATTTGAAATGATTGCCATTGCTAGAATCATTGCCAAATGTGGGGCTTAATCTTTATCTCACACAGGTAGCCCACGTGAGGTAAATGGAACTACATACAGTAAAACCTGTGTTATCCGGCACGCTCGGGGATTAGGGTGTTCTGGTTATCTGAGGGTCCCATCAACCTAGGAAAAACCAATGGACAATAATAATAAAACTCAAGTTTTGTAGTATGAGACAATTGGTCTCACATTTCTATTTTGAGTTAAAGATGATTAGTACTTCTTACATAAAAAATTGTTAAGCCAATTATGGTAAACCAAGCCAGGCCTGTGTGTCTGAAGATGTGTCAGTATTGTGGTTGGGGGTAATGCCAGTTAACAAAGTTTTCTGGTTAACAGAGTGCCGGATAACAAAGGTTTCATTGTACATAGGTATTTCCAATGTTAGTGGAGGTTGGCAGGAACAGGGACTTTAAATAAGCCTATTCTTCCAGATCATGGATAAAATATTGCAATAAAACTGAACCCAACACCAAGTGCCCATGGAATCTTTTATCCTTGGCATTTTACATCACTCACTTATTAAGGAAGTTAATAGCTTTCCTATTCTGAATATGGTTTTGTTCTGTGCAGGAGCATGAAAGGGGAGGTGTGAACAATCTATAAATCCCAAGATAAGTGGAAATTTAGCTATGTCAAAAAATTGCTTACTTCTGATGCTGTATTTTTATGACAAGAAAAAAGGCTGATTAGATTGCACGAGAATCACATAATAAATTGAACGGTAACTCCGCTGGAGGTTGACTAAGGTCTCATCCAGCAGTCTAAGAAAGATTGTTATTTCAACAAACCAAAAATGTGTTTAATAATAATATATTAAATATTAATAACAAACAGTTGTATAATGCCTTCCATCTAAGAATCTTAGTGTACTATAAAGAGGAGGACGAGATGTTAAGCTTTCTAGGTCTCCTTTTATTTCCTGGACAGTATTATGATGTATGATCTATTCATACAATCTAAGTCACAGCAAAAACTTCTGTATTCCTGTGAGGCTGAGAAAGGATCACCTCGGATGTACAAACTCCATCCATGAAAAGTGTTTCTAGTCAGTTTTCAATGTAACCAGGCAATCTTAGGAAATAAAGAATGTTACATTGAAAAGATTACCTGACTACAAAGTTTGGAACAATTGGTTTTGTAGTCCTCTTCCTGGAATAAAAAAAGAACACAGGCATTGATACAGGCACATTATAATTTGTTGTGATACTTTTGGTATAGTTTCCCATAGATACAAATTATTACTTATAAATTAAAAACTCACACTGCCGAGGAAGGTTCAAACTGCAGGTCTTAACAATCCACCTAACAGTTCTTTCTCTTAAATGCAGGAAATAAAAATAGCTTCATAGTTGAATCTTAATTTCAAACAATTGGCTATGTAGCCCTCTTTCTAGAAGTGAAGATGGATATATATACATACTAGTGGCTGCGTCTAGACTGGCAAGTTTTTCCGCAAAAGCAGAAAACTTGCCAGCTGTCTACACTGGCTGCTTGAATTTCCGCAAGAACACTGACGATCTCATGTAAGATTGTCAGTGTTCTTGCGGAAATGCTATGCTGCTCCCATTTGGGCAAAAGCCCTCTTGCACAAATGCTTTTGCACAAGAGGGCTAGTGTAGACAACGTGGTATCGTTTTATGCAAAAAAGCCCCGATCGCGAAAATGGCCATCGGGGCTTTCTTGCGCAAAACCGCGTCTAGATTGGCACGGACGCTTTTCCGCAAAAAGTGCTTTTGCAGAAAAGCGTCCATGCCAATCTAGATGCTCTTTTCCGCAAATGCTTTTAACAGAAAAACTTTCCGTTAAAACCATTTGCGGAAAATCATGCCAGTCTAGACGTAGCCATTTTGTTTCCAAAAATGTGTCTTGATTAGATGGTCTCAAAGGACTACTTATTCCCCTTGTTCCTGTCTCAGAATTCTATTGGTAACAGTTCTCTGCTTGTTGTTGTTATTTCTTCTCTTCTCCTTTTGCACCCTGCAAAAAAGGTCACATTGTACTCTTTTATCTATGCTACTGCATTTATTTTTGAACACTTCATTTTTGATCCCTTGAACATGAGCTATAATAACCCAATTGTCATTGTGCACCTATTTTCCATTTGTTTTCTGCAAGTGGGATGGGTAGTGTACAGTGTTTTAATGACTTATTGGCTTCATTTATAACTCATTTGACCACTTGTGAGGAAAGTAGGTTATCCCCAATAAAGCCTTTAATACTATCACACACACACACACACTTTATTTATGCTATATTACAAACTATTTTAGACAGCTTTAGTTTTAATTAGTACTAACTTTCCTCTCTGCCTGTAAATCCAGTTGCCAATAGCACACACAAAAAATCTAAATTACAAGAGAAGATTAAGGTCAGATGCTATCTGACTCTGCAAGGTTTAAAAGGTGGGGAAGAGTTCGTGAGGATACTTCCTCCTGCACAGGAACCAGCCACAATCGGAAAGAACTTCAAAAGCACAGGCAGCATGCACTGG